AAAAAATAAAAATTTATTTAAAATTTATTAATTATTTAATTAAATTATTTTATACAAAATTAATGTAAAAACTTAAAAATAAATTTGATTTTTATAATTTTGTATATAAATTAATAATAAAATAATACAATAAATACAATACATACAAGTTAGAAATACCTTATAAATATTATGTTCTTGGATTTTTTGCTCTGGTAATGGTGTTGGCATGCTTTATGAGGACGGTTATTTCTTTTAGGTTGGAGGCTATTTGGTTTGGGAGATTTTGTAATTATTATTTCTTTCTTTGATAAGAACACATTAGCATTGTGAAAGAAAAAATTTACCATCCTTGAATAACCTACTTTATATATATATATATGTATATTTGAGAGAGAGATAAGTTATTTTAATAATCATAGAGGTTGAATATATGGTTGAATCATGCCTTCAAATCTTATATGAGTGTTGTCTTAATAATGATTGAGTAAAGCAGAAAAGGGAAAAGTTAGGATTTCTATTTCGAATTTGGTTTAAACTTTAGAATTTATAAATGAGTTGTTGTATTCAGGGGAATTCTAAGTGTTCAAATTAATAATTTTTATTTGCATAAAAAAAATAATTTAATTGAAAAAAATCAAATCTTACTTTCTAGTTTTTCTTGTTCTTTTTTTCATTTATTGCTGAAAAGGAACAAAAGGGCGCAGAAAAGAGTGGATGGGTAACAGGTGAAAGAAGCAATGATCTGTGTAAAGCAGATTCTTTTTTTCATTTATTGCTGAAATAAATGTTTTTTCATTTATTTCTAGTTTTTTTTTCCATTTAGATTAAAATTTTTTAATTAATAAATATTAGTTAAATTAATTTTTTATTGATAAAGTAAAAACATAATTTATAAATTTTGATTTCGGCTCTACTCCAGACCCAAGAATCAAACGCATAAACCCAAAAATCAAGAAGACAAGTTTGAATGCTACACTCCAAGAATTGAAATGTTAATCTAAATTTTGAAACCTCCAACAGTCGCCAAATTTGACTGCCATTAGTGACTCATCAATCAACTTATGATAAAATGCGTAATAAATTACTCAATCATCTAAATAACTTAATAATAAATTTTTTATT